GGGATTTTCCTCAACTGCTGTGGCAGGCGCATCTCGCTTGTTGCTGGAATGGGCCTTGCCACTTTTGTTCCAGCAATCATTGTGCTCCTTCACAAACGTTGCCCACTGCTCACGCAGCTCGTCATCCTTCTGCTTGTTCTCCGGAAGGACTCCTTGAGGGGCAGACTCTCTGAAGCACTGGGGAAGCTGGCGAGGTAGTCTTTCTCCTCCAAAGTAGGTGGCGCACGCATCTCCTTCCAAGGTGTCAATGCCTGCCAGTCAGGCACCTTCTCCTGCGCCAAAGTCTGCAACTTCCGACGGATCGAGGATTGCAGCCACTTGGCTATCTTGGCATTCTGACCTCTGGTTGCCACAACTTGTGCATCCTCGGTCTTGTGCTGGTAGTCGCGGGTATTGCTTGCTGCCCAGACAATACCCACATAGAGTGGCCTGGGGCTAGCAACTGGGCCACATGCCCTTCGCATCAATGCCTCAATCACAGAGTGGTCATAGGCGAACAAATCCAGCCACATAACGGCTGCATTTTCTGGAACTTTCATTCCATGCCACAAAGCATCATGGAAGGCAGCTGGGACATTGAACCCTCCAATCCACTGCTTGCGTCTAGCAGGCTTGCTGGATTTGTCCGATGTCATTGCGCTGCCACTGAACCCTCTACGTGGATCGACCATGTTCTTGATTGGTAGCATGGACAGGCGTCACAATGCCTTTGACAACAATTGGCAGCATCTGCCGCTTCCACAGCGCTGACTGAGCAAACTCACTGATCAACCCATCCTTGTTTTCCTGGTCAGTGGCCACAAAGAACTTGTGGAACCCAGGTCGCCTGGATGGTGCTGGAATTGAGCTTTGGTCAAAAGCCAAAAGAACCTCTCGAGTCAGCAGTCGATTGTCCGGCTCATTCAAAGCGTCCAGGATCTTGGCTGTGGACTCTTGGACGCTGGACTCTGTGTACTCCTGAAACGCAGCAATAAAATGAATGCAGCCAAAAACTGAACCACCCTACCTACAACCATGCAACATGTTCAGAATTTAGGGTTTAGGGTTCAGGGTTTATTTAGAGGAAAACATATGCAGGTGAGCATCATTGCCGTATGCCCCACATGTGGGGGCAGCAACCAGCATCACCCTTCTGGCAGGATTCTCTGCCAGAAGGGTTGCACACAGAGGAATGGCAGCCTGTGCGCCCTGGACAGAGTCATAGCCAAGAACTGAGGCATTCAAGAGGATTTGTCATGCGAGATAGACTTTGCATCCAGGAACTGCTGCAGGCAGGCCTCCGCGAAAGTGACACCATGGTTGGCCGCAGCCACATCCCGCACAGGGAACATTGTCTCCTGCGCTTTCTCCACAGCAGCCCTCTGAGCAGCCCTCTGCCTGTCGGTGGCCTCAGCCTCAAGGCCTTTGGCGCTTCGCTTGAAGTCCTCGACTTTTTCCATGTAGCTCGTCCACATACCAACCTCTTTCTGGATTTTGGCCTGTGCTTTGAGAAGCTCTGCCTTCTGCGCTGCAAGGTCAGCCTGGGACTCTGTACTCTGGGACTCGTGGACTGTCGCAACAGTGGCCTCACAGATGAACGAATAGGGCTTAGGGCTTCTGGCTGAATGTGAAGGGAAAGATTGTGTTCATAGAAAATGAGTGATGGTTAATAGCATGCATGATTGATAATGGGCCTTGAATCCCAGGTCCGCCAAAAAGCGGAAGTTATGCAGCTGCAAGTTTGGGCTCATGGTTCGCACTTTCTCCATGAGCTCTACGTCCAGGTAGCCCCGGGCAAACTTCAACTCCAAGGACTGAAGCTGCTTGGCACTCAGTGTCTTCTCAAACTGCGGCCAGAAGTGCGCAAACAGAGCGGACATGCCCCATGCGGCGTCTGCGTCCTTTGGGTCTCGACAATTACTGGCTCCACTAGCCAAGTTGATTTTCTTCTTCAATCGCTTGGCATCCTGCAGCTTGAAGAGAAAGTACTGCACTTTCCGCTTGACGAACCAATGCCTCTTGCGATTGTCGACCTTCAGGATGTTCGTCCACAGCTCTGACTTCATGGTGCTCTTTGGAGCTGAGCCTGCCAAAGCAATAATGTTAAATTCATCAATGCAGTTATCATGAAAAATGCTACTGAAAATACTCCTGGCCTTGGAAGAAAGGACCAACAGCCAGGACCTTGTAGGGAATTGCTGAACGGTTGGGCGCAAAGAGCTGCCAGTGATAGTCAATGAGCTCCTGGGTGTCCTTGTCCAGAACAGGGTAGATGGCCACAAGGCTGGCCTCCAGGTCAGACAACTTCTTTGCATCGTTCAGGGACCCGCCATTGAATTCTTGGATCATTCCTGCTGCACAGTCAGCCCGCAGAAGGCCTTCGTCCTTTGCCTGCATCATAAGCAACGTGGAGACCTGAATGGGGTCCGGCCTTGGGCGAGCTGCTTCAGCAAACTTGTCCGGAAGGGTCCGGAACCTGTCTAACTTTTTGCTCCCTGTTGTGTGGATGGTCGCACGGAAGCAGTAAAGTGCCTGAAGCTGTGGCAGGATCTGCTGCAGCTCTGCAACCTCAAGCTTGCAGTGCTCGACTGCAAGCAAGATGGCCTTCATGGCCAAGCTCTTTGTGAAGCCGATGGCTGAAGTCTGGCAGGGGCTCGCCTGCAACTGGCAAGTCAGGTGGGAGCCAAAGCTGGATGGGGTTTGTGATGCTGTCGTAGGGCTTCTCCAAGAAGTCTGTGGCACAGCGAAGCACATTCGCCATCTTACTCTTAAATTTCTGGGAATGCTCTGGCTGGAAGCTGAGATGCCAAGGCATCAGACGCAGCTCCTGTGTCACCTCTGCCTCTACCAGTGGGACCCTGCACTCCACCTGTCGAGCCCTGAAGACCCAAGAAGGATCCGTTCTCTGCAAAGTGCGCTGGGTTGTTTCAAACAGCTCCTTCAACTTGCTGGGATCCTTGCCAAAGCGCTCCTGCAGGTAGTCACCTGGTCGCAACTACTATCATCTCTGGGGGCAAGATATTTTTTCAGGCGAGGCTCTCAGCACTGAGACCCGCACAGATCTCCACTGCATCTGCTTGCTCAGGGTCCCCCGAGCCATTGAAGGTGTCGTCCAGCCAAGTCTGCAACTTGATGACAACTTCCTTCTGCTCTTTTGAGAGCGTGAGCAGTCAGTCTTGGACTTACTCTGCACTCGGGGACTCAAGGACTCAGAAAGCTTGAGTCGAAAACAGCTGCCACAAGTAGCTCTGCTGAATCAACCTCTTGCTGAGCACTCAGAACTCAGAGACTCAAGGACACAGCAAGCATGCAGAGCTAAGTGCTTCTTCGTCTTAGCCCAGGACTATCATCTCTGTCTGGTCCCAGGACCTTGGTCAGGGAAAGTAATCTTTTTTAAATTTGAAAGCTCTAGCCTTTAGAGATATAGAGTTTTAGAGAGTACTAGTGCCACTTCTGAGGCCTAAAAAGTTGACCCCCGAGAAGTGGCACTAGTGGGGGGTCCTAGTGCCACTTCTCTGCTCTTCGGTTAAATTGCGCAGCCTATTCTAAAGCCTAAATTTTTTAGGCCTTAGAATAGGCTGCGCAATTTAACCGAAGAGCAGAGAAGTGGCACTAGGACCCCCCCACTAGTGCCACTTCTCGGGGGTCAACTTTTTAGGCCTCAGAAGTGGCACTAGTACTCTCTAAAACTCTATACCTCTAAAGGCTAGAGCTTTCAAATTTAAAAAAGACTAGACAGAAACCTTTCACATTTACTTTACTGTCTGCAGCCTCCAGCAGCAGTTCCACTGGAATACTAAACGAGACTGGACTACTACTTCATAGAGAAATTTTAAGCAATAGCAGTTAACCAGATAGTAAGTACTATAACTACATTTCCTAGTAATTCGAAAATTGAACATGTACCTACTACCGGGGGCTTCTAGTAGCTGAACAGTAAACAAGCTTCTACTAGCTGAGCTTAAAGACACTGCAAACTCACGAAGACTTGCAGTAGTTCCTAGTCCCCAAAAGAATCAACTGACTTCTGGAACCTTTGGTTACCTACTCAGTAAAAGCTACTATGAAATTTGGACCCTGAAATAGCATCAACCTCTGTGAGCTGAAATTGTTTTTTGCAGCCAGCCGAGCCAACCCTATTAGCAGGTTGCAGGCACTATCTGCACTAAACTTTTAAAGAAGCAAGACAGAAGTTAATGGGACTTTGCGCAACTACAATAAATGGTGCAATTTGTCTGACTGCATTATTGCAGCAGCTACACCAGCATGATTTGGCTACTGGTAATCGACGAAGTAGCAAGTACTATCTTACCATGACAGTATGCTTGCTGAATACAATAGCCGGAAAGAAACCAATAAATAGACCTTGGACTTGCAATAGCCATTTAGTTTGCATTGAGAAAAAAGGCAAACTAACCGCCTAGTCGAAGAAGGCGCATTTTGTTGGTTGCAAGTACTGAGTTAGCTTACCTGCGCAGGATGTTTTCGATTCCTAGTCATTGGCCACTCCGGCTGAATTCGGCAAGAAAGCCATTTACTTCACTTACCAGCGATAGGGTGTATGTGCCATACTTATTGGACTGATGCAAGGGGAATCTTTTGGGTTCTGGAGCTTGGCCCTTATCAGTTCTTTCGAAGGGGTGCTTGCTTAAGGGGAAACATTATGATTGCAAGATTCTATTGTTTTGATGCTTTTTCCTGTTTCAATCATGTGCACCACACCAAACATGATGTGTTTTTATCATACTGTCATGTGTCTACCAAAGCCTACAGTAGCTAGTTGCGGACTTTGTTAAAAAGGCCTATTCATGTTTGGCTTGGTGCACATGATTGAAAATACTTAGCCCTCTAAACCCTAAACCTTAAACCCTAAACTTAAGTAAACCCTAAACCTAAACTCTAAATGTAAACCCTACACCTAAGCCCTTAACCTTTAAAGAACCTTAGCCCTTAACCCTAAACATTGAACTGAAGTCCTAAAGCCTAATCTGAAACCCTAAACCATGGGC